GTAGTAGTAGTAGTAGTAGTAGTAGTAGTAGAGAGAGAGAGAGAGAGAGAGAGTAGAGAGTAGAGGAGAGAGAGAGAGAGAGAGAGAGAGAGAGAGAGAGAGAGAGAGGTACCTTCGGATACAAGGGAACCCCATTGAGGAGGCAAAGGGAGGGGACAAGAGCATAACACCAAGTAGGTAAAGAATTTACTGGCCAAAACAAGTAAATGCTATAGCTCATCATGTGCGCTACGCTCATTTTCCCCCATCCATACACGAAGGGGCAGTATTTGGAGAGCAAAATCTGAAAGTCACCCTCTGACCATCTCTTTGATTGAACAAGTGTATCCCCCAAAGTAGTTGAAGCCACCCCCAAAAATGCTTTCCTTGTTGGGTTGTAATACACAGATCTCCACCCTCTACAATGAATCGATAAACCTGTAATCACATCTTCCACTGGGCATCCATACTTCAGTCCCACCTGCCATCACATCCAATCCAAGGTTAAGCTATTTTGACAGAGACTAGTGTGCAGGTGTGTGTTGAGTGTGGAGGAGAGGGAGCAAACTACTGCATATTTATAGTATTGCACAACATTATCTATGAATACCCACATGTCTTATTGTTTTACATAATAACTGGAAATTCCTAAGAAATAAACATATTGGCAAAATTTATGAAGGCCCACATACACCAATATTATTCGGGTCAAATCCAGCTGGACCCGAATAGTACTCGGGTCCAAGTTTTGGACATGGACCTGACCTTTTGGGTCCAAAATATAGACCCATACCCAGACGCAAAGTCAGATCTGGTCTGGTCCATTGCCACCCCTAGGTGCCTCTGTGTTTGTGTGTGGGGGTATGGGTGTATGCATACGCGTGTGTGTGTATAGGTGTGTGAGAGAGAGCAAGAGAGATGACCTCTTTTCCCCATTCAGTACCCAATTCATAGGTGCAAGTAGCAAGATCTTTCCCTCTCTCTTCCAAAATCTTTGCCTTTTCCTCACTCTTACTCCAATTCCCACCACTCAACTCTTCTTTAAACTCTTCATTAAGCATCTTCCCACCAAGAATACTTCTTCTATGAAAACATCCACTCCCAACATACAGAGTACCCCCAAGACCATCCATTCCGGGAAAATCCACCTGCAACATTCAAATAGCCACATTAAAACTTAACCAACACCACTGATTCAAAAATGCTCGATCCCACTCGGAATCTGCTAAGTTTGACAGGAAGGCAGAGGCGGGTGATTCCTGATGGAAAATCTTTGGAATCGCTCGGTTCCTCCAGTTATATTTATTTATTTATACAAGTTATAGCAGAGTAGGACCAGGAGAATCCGATATCAAGCCCCTACAAAGTTGGGGTCGATTCTGAGTTTTTGAAAACATATAGACACACATACACAAAAACACCAACATAAAATTTATAATAGAAGTAACTAAATCAATAAGCAGTTACATTAATTAAAAGAAAGAAAGAAAAAACCAGTTTCATTTACAGCAGAGACATAACAAGTATCACTAATTTGTTGATATACTTTCTTGATTTTCTTAGAAAAACCTACCACTCCAATTGCTCTTAGGAAGCCATCATAGAGCTCATTTTTTGTCATATTATCGAAATTCTGAGGGAACTGCACAAAAGCAATGTCATGACCTGTCTCCTCATCCATTAGAAAGCACAGAGCATCCCTAATTGATTTCGAATCGTTGGAGTACATATCACAGTCAACATTGAGTATAATCGGAGCATTGCTGATAACTGATGAAACTCGTATCTGTCCACAAAAGACCATGACTTAATAATCATATGAACAAAATAGTTAATTGATGAACATTTGTAATATGTTTAGTTTGGCGAACTTAGTATTGCCATGCAACAAGGGCACATACTTATGATTTTATGCATGTGACGGCATACTAAGGACACAACATCCATGTCTAACAAGTAAAAAAATTTAGATGCTCTTAATATTTTTTCTTGAAATTTAACTATAAAGTCACCTGAAATCTCATCTTTAATGTGTTTCTTTAAAGATGACATATAGCAACCCCCCACGGGAGTATATACTTTAAAACAACTCCCTAAAGAGGTAATTGTAAATAATTCTTTTATCCAAAATTATGGGATCCATCTAAGTATCACTAAATTATTGTTTTCAAGAATAAAATTGGATTGAGTTCTTCAACATGTCAATCTTTTCATCCAAAAATTGGATGGTTCTTGTTCAATCTTAGGACGTTATTTTTTTTCTGAGAGATTGGGATTCAAATTTTTTTTTTTTTCTATCAATTCGGTTGTTTGTTATAAAAGGCATCCCCATATCTTGGGTCCATAAGATATATCCTAACCTTGAGTTTTATCCTAGAGAGCAAATGCACAGTATGCTCCAGCAGGAGCAACAAATCTTTTGACTTGTTTAAATGTTATACGGATATGTTTAGCCAATTCTACTATTGGTATTTTTTACACTCATATCGATATGTTTCTATGTAACACATTAGATTTAGAGTTCCTAATCACGCACAAAAATAAGACGAAAAGAAATTTATAATCATAGAGTGAAAATCAATAAATTTACCAGGGAATTCATGGCACCAGCCTTGAAGTTATGGTGTTGGTTTGGGTTCTTCTCACGTGCCAAATACACAAGTGTAGGTAATGGGATTCCCTCCATGTCCACCTCTGTTGAATCTCCCCCTCCAATCAGTATCTTCAAAAAATAAAATAAAAAATTGACCTTAAATTTTGAGAAATTTATCAAAATATCTCTATGAGATGAACTATCAGTTTACCCATTTGGAACAATTTGAACTCAAGACGATGGGTTGCCTATAGGTGATTTAAAATTAAATGAAAAGATATAGGTTAAAGTGTTAAATTGTTCATCTGCCATGAGTAATTTGATTATTTTTTCAACTAAAATAAAACTTTTAACTGAAGTGACAAAATGTCAGCAGCAATTGGAGGTTTCGGGATCGGCTGCATACCTGGACAATGGGGGAATGATCGCGAGAAGTGAATGGTGTCTTGTCCCACTCAAGAAAACCTTTATGTTGACATCGAATATCTTCAGGGATTCTCCCTAACTTCACTGCTGCTTCAATTCGCTCTTCCATCTCTTCGAACATTTTCTAGAAAGAGATATATCTATTTCCGGTTAGAAATACCCACGAGACAGAGAAGCGCATGCAAAGAATGAAAAAGGGATTGAAGAGACAATAACGATTGTGACCTTCATGTACAAAAAGATAAATGGTCTCTTTGTAAACAATCCCTTATAGAATATGAACAAATCAATATGTAGTTTTTTGCACGTATTTTTTATACGATACCTTATACTTTTGAGACTACATATTTTCAAATGTTTCTTATTGAAATTTCACTATCAAGTACTTAAATTGTATAGACGTATTGTGTCAAGTACTTAAATTGTATAGACGTATTGTGTCAAGAAGGCTAAATCTAATATGGGCGTCTTACACTAGTATTTGCATCAGGTGTCAACACATAATTGTCTCAGTAAAGCATAGGAGAGAGATTAGTGAATTTAGTGCATGTTTGGATATATTCATTATCATTGAAAATCCATTATTTCAATAAAATTAGGCATGTTCATGAATTATCTGTTGTTTGGCAAAGTACATTATAAAATTGTGCAAGATAAACTTATAGGCATTTTTCCTTGTAAGTTTATCTTTTTGAAAATTTATTTTCACCTTACTCAAGTACTTAGTACTTTGCTGAAATTCATAGGTTTTCAGTCAAAAATCGCTAAAAATAGCTAAAAATCACCAAAAAAAAATAGACAATGAAATAATGTTATGTAGATATCCCCCTCTCCCGCCCCCTACAAAAAAAAAAAAAAAAGAAAAAAAAAATATGACACTTTGTATAACTATACTACTAACCATAAAAATGTTTAATTTCACATCCACCCCCGAGTAAAAAGTAGTTTTATTTAGGATAAATGTATCCCCTTTATAATGCACATTTTTTGTATAGAAAAAAAAATCACTGACTTTATTTTAAACAATGTGCCGGACTAATTTTATTTTTTAAAATAAAGCCGGTCCGACATAATGTGTACCGGACTAGCACATTATTTAACACGACGCCAGTCTAGCACATTCAATGCTACAATTTTCGAACCAGCTTTTAGAAGCCGATCCAGCACACGTTGTGCATCATTTAAAAAACGAGACAAGTGAGAGAAATATATGTTATAAAAGGGGCATTTTCATCCTAAAAGAACCTATTTTTTTACCTAAAGGAGCTGATGCAAAAATAAATATTTTTAGGGTTAATGGTATGATTTATAAAGTTTTTTTGGTTGGGGGTTGTATGGATGTGTTATGTTGTATCAAACAACTAACCAAACAATATCATCTAGGGGATATTAATTTTATGAGTAATGATACTATGAGACCCTCCTACATCCATATGAGTAGGATCTCAAAAGATCACCATTAAATTTTGACATAGATGTTTAGAAAATCCATTCACCCAAGTCCCACACCCATGTAATAACTTTTCTAAAGATCTGTGTCAATGTCAAAATTTAATAGTGATCCTTTGAAGTCCTAACACACACACGTGAAAAGAGATTCCTACAATTCATACTTCCCACTTAAAAGAGAAAAAGATACTTCCCACTTAAAAGAGAGAAAGAGAAGCCAACCTTGATGGTGGAGCACTCATCCTTATGAGAATAGGCCATTGAAGAGAAGAAAGGTTTAGGGGCCCTTGGCTCTATTTGGAACTTCTTGCAGAAGGGGAGCCAATGCTTTGCAAATTTGGCAGCTTCCAATAATGCATAGAAAGTAAATTCTGAGGCCCCATCGTCAGATAGGTAGACACTGAGCTTGTGGGTTGGGTAATCGTAGGCCATGAGAGATAAAACAGTGCCCATCACAAGCATTGGTGGCTCCTTGTATGGGTCCGCCGTGCACACAAATATGTCCACACCTGGCAACTCCTTTTCATACCTGCTCCTTAAAAAGTATGTTAGTTTCCGTTCCACTCTCCAAAGAGAATGTAGGCTCGAAAAGAGTCTCTCCTTGAAACTAAACGGAAATTCGATGTTTTGAATATCGGACTATATATTGAACTCCTCAACTTTACGTTTATGTTAGTTTGATATTTTAGATATCGAACTGTTTTCTAAATAGCTCCTAACCAAAAGACAAACTTACAATTGAAAAAAAAAAAAAAAAAACGAAATAAATTTAGTTAAGAGAAGTCCCAAACTTTATGTTAGTTTGATATTTTAAATATTGGACCGTCTTCCAAAAAAAACTCCGAACCAAGACAAACTTACAATTGAAGAAAACGAAAAAAAAATTATAAATTTAGTTAACATAAGATCGGGGAAAAACATAAATTTTTTTTATTTTTGGCGAGAGAATAGGACCTCCACAAAAGTTTTACAAAAAATTGGATCATTTCGTGATGGCGCAAATTTTTTCCAGCCTTAACGCAAATTTCATGCTTACTCATTATACAATATTCTCTCTATCGACTCCAGACTCAGCCCACTCAATCGCTTGTTCCCCAGAACAAGGCTTCAATTACAGAAAAATATGAATTTGCCAAATTTCTCTCTTATTCACCCAAACACATCTAGGGATGGCAATTGGGTCCCGAATCGACCGGAACCAGGTCTAGGTCCAGGTTCATGTTTGGACTCGACAAGCTGGTCTGGATTCAAACGATGTGGACCAAACCCGGTCGTGTATGGTTCTAGGTCAAGACCTAGCTCTGCTCGGGTCTGGATCCAAATACTTGGACCCCGGTCTCTCTCTAACCCACAACATTAACATCTTACATCTCTCCCCTCTCTCTTTCCCTATTTATCTTTCTTTGTTACTCTACACCTGGATTTCTCACGAGTATATGCCGAATCCTCTGTCTTTAACACAAAATTAAGTGATTATTTCAGGTCCCTACATAATTTATTAAACAAGTGGCGGGGAGAGAGAGAGAGGAGGGGACCTCTTGGAGAGCCTGTCCTTGAAGGTGTGGCGATAAACAGGGTTCCATCTGACCGACTGGTTCAGAACCCAATAGAAAGTGAACCACACTTCGGATGCAAAAATGGCCATCCAAAACCATTGAGCACCCTCTGTCACATGAGTCAACCTGTAATACAAAACCATCAAAACTGCACACAAAAAACTTAGACCAAACAGCCTATACAGAAACATCCCCTTTGCTTTTACGCTCCCATAGAGAGAGAGCTTTTCTTCATCAACTTTTCCCATCTCTCTCTCTCTCAAAGAGTACTCAAGTTTCTCTCTCTCTCTCTCTCTAAGATATTCTCCAACTTCGTTATGGGAGCTCCAAGGTCTCTCTTTCTCTCTCTTATTTATCCTCCAACCTTCTGTCCATGCCTCCTTTTTACTCAGTCTCCCTTGTACAACATTTTCCATATTCAAATGCTTGTTTTATTGAGATTCTTGGGTCAATACTCGTACGTACAATTTAATTTATCGAGTCGGTTTTGGCCTTGCAGTTGACAATGACATGTAAGTGATTCCATGATGTGTACGGGAAGGCACTGCTCCTTTGCTAAAAGAGGTGTGTACCAATGTAGCCAAAATTGAATCGGATTGGTTAATCAGATACGACCCAAAAGCGGTTTAATCGATCTGATCGATAAGTCGGTCAATTTGACCATCTTAATCGGTCAAGTCTTAGATGGTCAAAAAATTATTGAAAAAAATAAACAAGATACAAAAAAAATTTCACTAAAATATAAAGTGCGATTAAAACAAAACACATTCAAATGAAATTGAAAATTAATGGAAAAATTGGATTTTATAGAATCGTTCAAAAAATTATTTAAAAAAATAAAAAAGATACAAAAAAAATTCTACTAAAATATAAAAAGCATATAAAAAGCTATTAAAACAAAACACATTCAAATGAAATTGAAAATTAATGGAAAAAATGGATTTTAAAGAATCGTTCTGGATTGCATCCTTAAGTCCGATCGACGATAATTGATGTGCCTAAGGGTATTTTTAAATAAATTTTAAAAAAATGGGAAGATATAAAAATGAGTATCAATGGCCAAAATGATTTTTAATATTTATCATAACGTAAAAAATATTTAAAAATATATTACAAATCAAATTTCTTATTTTTGGAATTTTATTTGCATTTTTTTGAATTCTTTTTTTTAAAATACGGGCTGATCACCCTGCGTTTACCTGTTAGATCGCCCTGTTTTTTAAACATTGGTCATCACCTTCTCTTTTAATTACTGATGATGTAATCCTTCCATTGTAATTCTCTTTTATTAATAAATTTGTTAACATTTATCCAAAAAAAAAATTGTGAGTGATTACAAGTACATCTATACATGCCCTTCTTCCATCCCCTAATCCCAAAGTGCCCCATTATTTCATATGGTTTTCTCCAAAGGTACTCCCATCTTATTAATTGTATTCACATTAATTGAAATACGAGTCCAGCTAATATAAACATTTCGATGCCTTCTGTTTTTCTAATGGGCAAGCTTTCTATGTTTCTCTACAGCATAGAAGTTCTATAATCTCCATTATCCAACCGTCCATTTTGAATGGAGGGCTAAGATAGCCTCAATCACAATGTCACATCTCTACACTATTTTATGTTTAATTTTTTTCTATAACTATTTTGACACCAAATTTTGGACGTCTATTCTTCTATTAAACTCACACTAGCGAAAAATATAAAAAAATATTTTCAATAAAATAATATGACCAAAATACCCTTGAAAATTTCAAGAGGTATGTTGGTCATTATATTTTATCGAAAAATTAATTTTAATATTTTTTTTATAGGTGCGCCCAAATGAGAAGATGGCACGTACCAAATTTCATATTCATACAATTTGTATAAAAAAAAGCTAAAAATAAAATACTTTCCGACGTTGAATCTAAGATCAAACAGTGAACGACTCTCTTTGTCAAAATTGGGCAGCTGGATGGTAAGTAGGGAGAGAATAGAACTTCTACGTTGTAAAGAAAACCCTTCCCTTTTCTAATACCAAATCCTCACTGTTTTTGCTTGTAAAATATTGTTTGCATTTAACAATGTTCCGGTATTTTGGGTTTTGGTAGCTGTGCACGCTCCGAAGTCTTCGAGCGTGTTTGTAGATGGTAAATGAGAATGAATTATTTAGAATGGGGACTGAGAAATGGTGGAAACTAAATCCATTATATATAAGTGATTGATACTAATTATCTTTGTTACACACAATTGCTGCTATCAAAGTTGAGGGCAGCAACAAGGATAGGGGTAAAGCAACGATTTCGATCCTCTTTGATGACTGAGGCAAAGAGAGCAAGTAGTGATGGATGATAGGCAGGGAGAAGTTTAGAGGTTTGACAGTATCAAGGATAATACAAGGATGCTCCGGTGGTTCATGGTGTTTATACATAAATTCATTCATTGCTCTTTATGAAAAACCTTATTTGGAATGTGAATGTGAGTGTTAATGTGAGTGTGAGCGGAGGTACGCAGAAAGTAAGAAGTTTTGATATTGATGAGGCGACATAAGCCTAAAATTATTATGTTACAAGAAACTAAACTCCTCAAGCCTACTGTAATTAGTGTTAGGGATGATGATGGTGGTCCGTGTATGGGTTTTAGATGGGTCCCTACTTTGAATGCCTTGAAAGGAAGCCTTTTTTTTTATAGAAATTTCGTTTTTGGCTCTTTTTTAACCAAGGAGGGAATTTTTAACATGATCGATCCATTGGCCTAATGAGATTTCTACAAAAAATTCCAATCAACTCGAATATGATATGCTTTAACAATTTTATAATGCAAAATTTACTTGGGCTGATAATTGATGTAACAATTGGATTATGAGCAAGATATATTGGTTTTTTATCTCCCATAGTTTGGAAAGTTCTTTTCCTTTACTTGTGTCAATGCTTTAACCAAATTGTCAATGCTTTAACCAAATTATCCTCTGATCATATGCCAATACTATTACAAAGAACCAAATTATCCTCTGATCATATGCCAATACCATTACAAAGAAATTCATCCTCTGATCATATGCCAATACTATTACAAAGAACCAAATTATCCTCTGATCATATGCCAATACTATTACAAAGAAATTCATTGAGAGGGCCAAAACCATTTCCAATGGAGAGAGCTTGCTGTTATCCTCATATGCCATTACTATTACAAAGAAGTTAAAAACACCTGGAATAATACAATAATGTATGAATGGTTTGGATATCAAGTGCATAAAAAATTAATTAATATTAAGCATAGATTGTTGCCACGGAAAAAGGTAAATAATTTTTCAATTAAAAAAAAGTTGGACGACACTCTCGTCTAGATTTAATTTAAAAATATCCATTCAAAATCATGGATACGCCTCTAATGAGGAGAACAATGAAAAACGAGATTGTTGTTTGTGCTGAATAAAAATCTAAAGTTAATAAGAGATCTATTGGAAGCAACGATCTAGAGTTAAATGGCTGTAAGAGGATATGCTAATACTAAATTCTTTCATGCAATAGCAAATTCAAAAAGAAAAAAGCTTTTGAAGTAGGGGAAAATTAATTTGTCAAGTATTTTCAAAAAATTTTACGAGCGAGATGTCTTTGCAGGTTACCTTTCAAATGTTTATCTAGCAACATGGTACATGATTTGGAAAAAATGGAACAAAAAAGGAATAAAAAGAGGCAGTTTTTGCTTTAAGCTTCTTGAGCCATATGGCTTTCCCCTTAATTTCTTTCAGAAATTTAATTTTAGAATACTGAGAAGATGGATCTTTTATTGATGGCGACGGATTTTTTACAAGTCACCAAACCCACATGGATGCCGGTTTTGAATATTTTTCTCTACAAAATTAGCACTGCCCTTTATTACAAGGCTGAAATAGCCTTAAGATCTTTCTTGAAAGGGCCACTTTTACTGCCATGCCATAGGAAGGCACAAATCTGTCCTAAAGGAGCAAGCGACTCAAAGGCCACTTTCATTGCCATAGATAAATAGATAGGGAGAGAGACCCCATAATAACTATGCCACACACACACACACAGACCTAAGTCATGGTAATGGGGACACCACCATTCTCTTTTTCATCTCTCATCACCTGCAAAGAGTATTAACAATGCATCAAATGAATATGTGTAAGAGAGAGAGAGAGAGAGAGAGAGAGAGAGAGAGATGTCTGCTCACTTTCTCATTCTTCTCAGCTACTGTTGCTGCTGATGAAGCCGCTTTACTCAACCCTCTCCTCTCAAGCTCATTCAAAAACCCATCTAAAGCATCACTGCTAATCCTGTACGGTGTGTGAACAGGACCTGGAAACGAATGATTGACTACTTCTTCTCTAAACTCTGATAGAGCTCTACTTATCTCAGCACCCACGCGTCCATATTGTTTACAAAACTTGGGAGTCACCTGAAGATCAACCATGAAAAATCCTTTTTAGTGCCAACAAGTGCAAAGAACCAAGAATATACTCTCTCTTTACGTACCATAGCATGGTGAGGGTGTTGGAGCATGCCAAGCAAATCATGGTAAACCAAGACCTAAGAAAGGTCAACTGTCAGAATCTTCATAGTCAAATAAAAATTGAGGGGAAGCCATAACCAAAATTAATCTTATGAGAGAGAGATAGAGAGAGAGAGAGAGAGAGATAGAGAGAGAGAGAGAGAGAGAAGCATCTAAAATCACAGAAGTCTAAACCATTATGTAAGACTTTCCCATGTTTTAGTCGTCACGAAACAATGAAATCCACCACTTGTCAAAAAAAACTAACAGTTTCCCTATGTTGTTTTTCCTTTGATAAATAACCCAACGAGTTAACAAATGAGTTTTCAATAGGAATTTATGATCAGAACCTTATAAAGATGAGCTAGACAGCATACAAACCATGATGGACCTCACCTGCAGTTGGTTACAAAATGTCCAGTTCATTCTCTAATTCTCACGCCTAGCAGAAAGTGAATTCACTAAATGCTCTCTCTCTCTCTCTCTTACACACACACACAAAGGAATGATCTTCAAAGTATCTTTCTCGAGAGTAGCTACTGTACTCACCCTTTTGTGGCATCCTCTTGTGTGTGTGTTTTGTTAAAATTTCCCACTTTTTTAAATGCAAAATCTTTCTTTCATACTCAATTTAGGTACAGCATAAGGATTGAGATGCCAAAGTAGAAAGCAAGTTAGAGAACAGAGGTTTACATCTTCAATATCGACATCTCTAACAATCTGCAACAGACCAAATTGATAAACTGAATAGCTCATTCAGCAACTACTTAGGCATAGGCTTCAACCAAAGATATTTATATCATCCAATCAAAATTGTGAACACACACTTGAGTGTAAAAACTGAAGAGCTAGGGCACCTAGGTACCACTTTGAGGTGAGGCTCCAAAAGAGCTACGGTACCTTTGATATTTCCCAAACATGAGGATTAGGTGGGAGAAAAGAACCTTTTGGTTTGGTTAGCCATAAAATGTTATGCTTACATGAGATTAGGGCCTAATTTCAATAGAAGTGAAAAGATCATAAACTCTACTTCATACAAAAAAAAAAGTAACTATATAGAAGTAAAGAGATTCAATATGGGTCGTTCGCTGACACTGTAGCTATTAACCCGTGGGCTGACATAATCGATTCCGATATATATATATAGCCATCCTACCATTGCCATCAAATTGTGCAGAAAAAACATAATATCCCATGCAACTTGGATATGAACAATTAAAATTTGAGTAAATAACAAAGCACTGCCTACTTTTAATATCATATTTCAGTATAGAGACTAGGCAATTTTGCAATGCCTAATATCATACAGTAAATATTTATATGGAAGAAAGGAACTCCATGATGCTAATGAACCTAATCGATTATGAATAATGTCTAACTACACTTAAAATACTCCATGATGCTAATGAACCTAATCGATTATAACATCTAATATCTAACTACACTTAAAATGAAAACATTGAATGCTCTTGGTCAACAGAATCTTGCTCTGCTTTAATACCCCTTGTTACATGGAAGACCTCATCAAAGTAACTACCATGCTATTTCATTCATTTCGTGTAGAGACTAAATCAAGTGAATATCTTAAAAATTGAAGGGCATTAAATACATACACAATACTCATTAAAAGAAAAGACTCAAATATAGGTCAAATTGCATACTGGTCTGATAAAAAAGCAGATCAAAAGAAATTCAAAGAGAGCAGACCTGGCCACTACAGAAAGGCCCAGCTCCAATGCCTATGGTGGGGATTCGAAGGGCAGAAGTCGTAGCAGCTGCAACAGGCGAGGGCACACATTCCAACACAACTGCAAAACATCCTGCTTCCTGTAGAGCAAGTGCAGTCTCCACAATCTGTATACGAAATGTGTGTATTAGATCAAAAGAAAACAACCTAAAGAAGTTCAAAAGAAAAAAGAAGGAATAAAACAACATTGCATAGAGATATAAATGTCTCTTTTTTGGGAATACAGAAACAAAGCAGTACAGGAAAATAGAAAATTGTTAATAAAGACGATCAAAGAAGAAACCTTCATTGCACTTTCAGCATCTCTGCCCTGAGGCCTGAAACCACCAAGAACACTGATTGCTTGAGGGGTAAGTCCTACATGACCCATGACAGCAATTCCAGCCTCTACTATTGATTTTGCAGCAGCAACCTTGAATGGAGCTCCACCTTCTAATTTAATGGCATCCATCCCACCTTCCTTCAATATCCTAACTGCAGTTTCAACTGCCTGCCCATAATTCAGAGAGGTAACTTCTCCTCAGTATATACCCAATTGCAGCTAAAAGAAATTTAGACATGCCCTCCCCCCCCTTGGCATATGCCCAATTGCCCATTTTAGCTAGAAGCAAAAATAAGCCACATGCCAAATACAAAACTTTCTTTGTAAGTAAGAGCGATTATTGTTTGAGACAAATGATTTTTCTAAAGAATCACACAGAACCCACATACCAATACAAAAAACCCATTGATTTTTATTTTTTATTTTATAATATCTTTGTTTCAACTCTGGCATGGCGGGTCCCAAGTCGTGTCATGCCCGTCCCAAGCCCTGAGAAAGGAGGAAGGTTGTGTTAGATAGGTAACCAGCAACAAAACTTTGCCACATTTTTTCATGAATCTTGAACCAATGTTAAGCCAACCCCAAATGGTTCGAATAAGGATCGGACGATGTTGATGATTTTTTATCTTAGTTTCAGGGGCTAAGTAGGAAGACCATTTTAAGAAATTAAACGTATACACATACAGGGGAAGTCCCCCATTGAAGTAGAAGATATCCATATCCCACAGGCTACGAAACCCAATCTCTATTTGAGCAGGACATGATAGTATAAAAAATTAGATCAACATCCCAATACAAAAGAAACCCTAATTTACTTTATTTAGCTTCGTCTTGTAGTGATGAAATCTAAATGCACACAGTGGCAGTCCTAGGTGAAATACAAAAACAGAAGAATAAGCCATAAAGTAGTTTTTGGAAGAATGAAGAAAAAGGAAAATTACAGTAAAATCATCCACTCCCTAAACATATAACATAACACATAATCATATTCTATCGAGAGGATTGTTGAAACCATATCACTCTAAAACCAAAGATCCATGCTTTAGAATGTAATAAACAAAGAAGAATTCACAGCAAATAATTTACTTAAGAAGGCAAAATGCAAGGAGTATCACCAGAACAGAGGAATTTCAGGAAGAAATTACCTCCATAGGGGAATTGCATGAAAGTAATTACCTGAACAGAGCTTGCCTCATAGCTTCCAAAAGGAAGATCACCGACAAGGAGAGGACGCTTGGCCCCTCGAGCCACAGCACGACAGTGTACAAGCATCTCCTCCAAGCTAATTGGCAAGGTCGTATCATGCCCATGAACAACCATCGCTTCCCAAAAGAAATGGAAAATAATCAAATAATAAATCAATGAATAAGGTCAAAATAAATTAACGGCATCACTGGAAATGAAAAAATCAACAACTTTTTCCTTTATTTCATACTATTTTCTTCTTGGGGTTTTTTGGGTTTTTTTTTTTTTTGGGGGGGAGAGATGCAAGTGGTTGCTTTTTGTTCTATAAATGGGCCCAGAGATTAAACATACATACCAAACGAATGATTTCAAATGACACAAGAAGGCAGGAAAGATGAAGATTAATGAGTTTTTTTTTTTAAGCAACCAGAATGTTGGTAAAATGGTTAGTTTTGGCATATAGACTACAGAGAACAGTATCCAAAACAATAAAATAAAATGAATGTCCTTTTTCTAATAATATAAGTTATAAAATGTTTTTTTTTCACCCTTCGTTGGAAGTTGCTAATAGCTGTGCTTTTAAATGGGTACCACGAAATCCCCAACCAAACATTAAAAGAAGGGAAAGTTTATATAAGGTTGCCACCTTAAAATGTAGAATCACATATGCACCTCAAAAATATATCGGAAATGTTGTTTTAATGTTGAAAAACCCTCTAATCGATCATATCGACATTGAGATATATGAATATGAAAAAAACGTTTTTGAATCCCAAAAATAATGCATCTTGCAACACATTATCTAGACCATCCATTTTCAATATTTTCATATATTTATAGATTTTCTAATTAGATATGAAAATAGATTTTAAGATAATCCTAAGAAATTTTTACAACAAAATTCAATGTTATGATAAAATTTTGAGGTGTGCCTTTATTGGATTGGTTAAGGTTGTAACCTTATAGAAACGGCATCGTTAAAAGAAAGGTAAATACAAAATTCAAAAACAGCAGAACTTTTTTCTTCTTATTGCATCATTATCAGACGCACAAGGTTTTCTGTTTTATGTCGAAGTAGTTGCAAAATGTCTATAAATGGTTACCAGCCAAATAGAAGGCATTATAAAATGTTGGAAATGAAAAATTCGATAAAAGAAGAATCCTTTCCCTTCTCCTTTCACCATAATCAGTGGCACAATTCTTATTTTTGGGAAATTGTGTACTTCTAGAAGCTCTGACCAAAGATAAAAACACCCAAAAATGCCAACGGCGATAAAAATTTGCAATGAATTCAGATGCTCCAGAAAGAAAATAATGGCATGAAATATGCATCAAATTCAGAAATTTTCCCTTATTTTGTCTAACAATTAATGGAACAACTTTCTTTTCTTCCAGTCTAAATGGGCACCCCCAGATTCTCCAACAAAGAGAATATACTAATGGATATGCAAAATGAAACTTCTCCCTTATTTTCTAGAATCATCAACTACATATTTTATTCTTTCTTAATGCTTATATTTCTACATGCTTAATCTTAAAATCTCCACCCAGAGGGAAAACGCATCAAAAACGCTAATTAACATGAAAATGTAACAAATAACCAGAACTTTCCCTTATTTTTAAGAATCATAAATTACACATATATATTCTCTTATAAACAGATACCAACTTACACAAATGGAAGTGAAAATAAATAAATAAATCAAAACTTCTCCTTATATTTTATCACTGACAGTCGGTTGTTTCTTGTTTTTGGGTATATGAGTACCTGCAGAATCACCAACCAGACAAATATCAATTCCCGCTTGATCGAGGTGAACAGCTGATGGGTAATCATAAGCAGTGACCATGGTGATAGGCTCCCCCTTCTTATGCTTCAGCCCCAAATTCTTTAGGGTTACTCTCTGCGATGAAATTTGAGGCGAAGGCCCTCCATATAAGGTATTCTCAGGCAAATTGCTCATCATGCATCTGGTATTGCACCCGGAAAACGGTAAAGAAATTCTATTGAAAAGAGCAGATGTTGCCATGGAGAAGATGCGGCGAGAACAACTTGCAGAGGTGAAGACAGGCATTATGGGTTATTAATCCACCCTGTAAACGCATACAGATGACGACAATCAGAGAGCTAGAGTTTTGAATGCCATAAACGGCGGAGGAAAGGAAGCGAGCACAAAGCCCTGATATATAATTCTATGATACTATCTTCGACAGACAGAGAGAGAGGTTGATGGGTACCTGATTTCAAAAAAAAAAAAAAGATTCAAAAAAAGAAAGGGTGACGGGTACCTGAGTTTATGCAATACCTTTGAGATAGAGAGAGAGAATCTGAACTAATGAAATATCAAACTAGAGAGAGAGGAGCCTAGAATACCTGAAATAATGCAGAAACCCAAACAAAAATGACAGATACAAGTCTGAAATAATGCATATTCTCAAAGAACATGATAGAGCGAAAGACTCACCTTAAACCCTGAAAGCATTTAGATTATACAAATGAAGACCGTACAATGAAAACATCCCTTTAAACTCTACTTCGGGGAATATCTCCGTTGTCACCACACGTGATTTATGAATACGGTCCTCATCTTTAGAGAGCGCCAGACAAATCTTTTATTTATTTTGATAGGGCCCGCAGTCCTAGGAAAAGTAGTTGGACAGGGCTGCATTATTAAAAGTAATAAAATAATAATAATAATAATAATAATTTAAAAAAAAAACCCTGTATTTTTAGAATCTCATACTCCATCATAAGTTTGAAGGAAAATTTTTCTTAACTTTAGAGGATAGGGTAATAAGAAAGTAACTAAAATTGTAGTAATAAGATTTTAGAGAATAGAGTAATGAACAATTAACCAAAATTGTAGGAATGAGATTTTAGAGAAAAAATGATATACCCACGTAAATAATATACCCACGTGAATTATAGAAAGTACATTAGATCATGCTCAAATATCTTCAAATGGATAAGATGTATGGACATAAGAAAAAAATAGATTTCAAGTTTTAAAAATAGTGTATTTTGTAATGCATTTTTGAACGATCAACTTTCAAGCTATTTTTAAAGCTTTAAATTTTATAAATAAAATAAAAATATATTTTAAGGTTATCACAAAGATTTAAAGTATTGAAACCACATTTCTCTACACAATTAAAAAGTAGGTTCTAATTTGATTGTTTAGAGCCTTGGCTCTATACAAACCACACCCTTTCTTAAATAGATGGACTCTCCACACACCAATATTTTCATGATAATCTTTTTCTTTTTCTTTTTCTTTACGATAGAGACAAAATTAGAAGTTTTAGGAAGAATTTTTTTATAGTTTCTCTCTCTATTTGGCTATTCTCTATTTGTACACGTGGGTATCTTTTCTTTGGTTTGATATGTTTCCTTTTTTTGGAAAAATGTGGTTTAATATATGTCTCTATCCCCTAAAATCTCTAACTCAATCTCTATCTATTCCCTAATAACAGTTAAACCCTAATCTCTATCTATTTTCTAACTCACGCACCAAATTTCCTTATGTGCACATGACCTCCTATGTGTTTTAGATAATTATTATCATGTGCATGATAATATGGTAGCCATATGGAAGGTTCCTATTAATATATAAATAATTAGTAATAGAAAACATGAAAAAAAGAAATTTAAAAAATAGACAGTGGTGTTCAGTCTTGACATAATAACAGTACCTACTTTTTTTATATATTTTTAGTTATATTACTTTAATATTGAAAAAAAAAATTGATCATCTCTCTAAAAGACTCTCTATCCATAAAGTTCTCTCCTAAAAATTCCCTGCTCTTTAATTTTCTCTTTAGATAAAAATATATCCTACAATCTCTATAATAATAGGGTTTTTTTCTTATTTTGTCGATAATATCTCAACACTAGCTTAATAATGTAGTATCGTATAGATAAATCCTAAGCCCGATAGAAATCTCATCTTTAGCTAGAAAGAAACAAAAAGTTGTTAAAGCGACAACTATGAGGAGCTCGTACCTATTTCACGTTGCCTATGTACCTATATTGGATCCACGACATGCATCACGTCTGGATCGATCCAAATAGTTAGATCTAGAAAATATTAAAATAAAATATAAACTAAAATAATATTTTATGAGATGGAGATTTAAGGAAACATTAAAAATCATTAGATAAGCTAAAAAAAGGTTAAAAATGTAAAAAGGAGATTGGGATATTTTTTTTTCTTTTTTTGGCTGCGATTGGGAAAAAGACTGGGTGGCACCGATACCATTCCAAAGCCGGCTCAGTCCCGACCAATTCTCATCCAAATCAGTAATTCAGATGGAAAATCACCGGTTTTAAAACACTAAGTCTTATTTGAGCACAATTGCTTCTCATAATTTTTAGAGTAATCTATATAGGTATCCTCCAAAGTCCCCATTATTTAATAAGCATCAAAATTTTCATTTAATCGCGTCTTTACTCAATTTGTTCATAATTTCAAAATTTTCATTTAAGATTTATAATATCTCCTATATTTATCAGAAACAAAAGATATCCCACGTTCTATATATCCGTTTCATTTGCTAATCCCTTTTTTTCAGGTGAAATTTTGGGAGTGGATCAAAACAGAGAAATCGTTATCCCAAGAGAGAAGAAAACCTTCCTCTTTTCATAGTCTCCCAACTATAAAAGGGAAAGGGTTTTCAGTTTCTTTATAATTCTTTCTCTCCAAACACTCACCTAACCTCTTGCTCAAGTTTAAGTTTCGAGTTTCAACAGCAGTGCCCACCCAACCAGAAGATTTGTGACAGTAAGCTTAACTTAATCATATTCTTCCTTTGTTTTTTTAAATCTTCTTTTGATCTTCTCTGTAGAGAAAGAAAAGGTCATTTATTATTTTTATTTGTTAAAATCTTCTTTTGATCTTCTCTGTAGAGAAAGAAAAGGGTTTATGTAGGCTTGCTTTGTTTTGAATCAGTTGTAACCAGTCCAAGAAAAGATGGATCCATACCACGTATTTCTGTACGCACATGCTCGAGGGACTTTCAGTAGCCAAGAATCATCAGAAATTGCAACAGAGATAACCAGAAAGAGCAATGTTTAGCTGGGAATGGGAAATTTCATAGCGAAAAAGCTCCATCTTCTTCTACGAGAAGTTATTCATTTCTTAGCCAAAGAGGTCTACCAACTTTTTTTGCTTCTTCTTCTTCTACGAGTGTTGATCATGACACCGTCTTCCTCTGGTGCTTATTCAACCTGATGATCTTCTGAGGGCGCTAGCTCATTCTGCCACCTTCTTCTTCTACTACGACAAGTTCTTCGATTCTGCTTCGTCTACGAGAAGTTCAGAGAACTAGGAAATGGACCTTTAGATCGACTTCATGATAGAATTTGCTAGAAAAATCGATTCTTCTTCTTCTTTTTAGTTGAGTTGGTGTTTGGTCTATGATCGTATCTTTTTTTTTATGAATATATTCAATTTTCTTTCTTTTATTTTGGTATTTTTTCAATGAAGAGTATATACAAACTTTCAGGAAATCCATCCATCCATAGCCCTTGCATCTAATATATTTCTTTTTACAAGACCATTTTATTGAGATGGAAGGTGAATGAGAAAACTAACCCAATTTTCTTATTTGTTTTGTTTGGAGTTGAGGGTGTCTTAATGTTTTAAGGACTTTTGATATTTAATGCTTTTTATGCTTCATAAAATTTATATGCTTCCCTTTATCCGACCGAATCCCCTAAAATTTATATGCTTCCCCTATCCAACCGAAACTTATATGCTTCCCCGATCCAACCATTCAATCACATCTCTACTATACTATTTTGACACTTGATTGGTTGAGATGGCCCCAATCACATCTACACCAAATTTAATTTTGGACGTTCACACTATTTTATTTATAATATTTGTTATTTTTACATCAAATTTTGAGCATCTATTTTCATAAATTTGTACCGGTAAAAAAAAAAAAATATATTATCAATAAAATAGAATAAAATGATCAAAACACCCATAAAAAATATTTTGGTTATTATATTTTATCAAAAAATTCTTTTTAATATTTAGGATATCATATTCACATAAACAGTAAAAATATTTTGATTGTTAGGCCTTCCCGAGAGAGGATTTCGTAATCTCTATCTTAGAGAGAGAAAGCGGTGTGAAGAGCAAGAAGTACAGTAATTGATTTGTTAGAGCTTGAGAGTAATTTGTAATTGTAATTGAGTAGTTTTTTCTATATTTGAGAAGGGAGCTTAAGAGCAATTGAGTATTTGTCAATATTGGAGAAGGGAAAGCGGGTGATTTTTTGTTTTTTGTTTTTTGTTTTCCGATCGCTTCTCCTAGCACCCATCACTGTAATCCTGAAACACCCCCAAAACCTCCATTAAAACCGCCTCTCAAGACATCCCACTTCTGAAATCTCTGAAACCTACTCTGAAATCCACTCTAAAATATCCGAAACCTGCTCTGTCTCCTGGAACCCGCCAGAAAATCCCCTTAACATGCAGGAAACATCCTTGAAATTGCTGGAAAATATTTCTCCGGTTGTCTGCTACACTCTTGTTTTTTCTATTTCTTGTTTTCGTTGTAACTTTCCCTTCTCTGGGCCTCAACCCTATATCTAAACTCTTCGTTCCCTTTCAAGTAAAATACCTTCTTACACTTGTGCAAGTCGATGGAACTTTTTGATGCAAGCTCCTTTACAAAAACTTTTGACAGACAAACCTATTTGGGTAACGGACAATCAACTTGTGATAAACTGACCTTTTTTTTTTATCTATTATTTAATAAAAAAATAAAAAATCATATTCGCTCTATCATGGTTATGAATGATCGAATCTATTGCTGTGATGCTCAATCATGTTTGTTCTTGTATGCGAGTTGCTTAACTGGTCTCAAATTGACCATCAGTACCTAGATCACCATCGGAAACAAGTTTATCAGACTTTTTTTAGGCCCTTTCGAGTTATTTCAACTCTCTACTGATTAATCAAAAGTCTTTATCCGCCATTGGTCGAGCATGTTTTTGATCCTACCGTTCTGAGCTTTGAATGTAAGATCGAATTGTGCTTGTTGATCAAGCAAGGTTGTGCTTGTTGATCAAGCAATTTGAATTAGTGCACTTAAAGATCCAACTAATCGATTTTGAAAATTATTGCTATCCAAACTCCAATTGCTCCCTCTCATATTAATATTCAGTTTGAGTGGTAAGGAAAGTGTATGTAATCTACCGGATTAACATAGAAGGTGTACATTGTAATAAGTAGGTTAATCAATTTGAGGAGTGGTAAGGAAAGTGTATGTAATCTACCAGGTTAACATGGACGATGTATATTGTAATAAGTAGGTTAACATGGAAGGAAGGTGTATATTGTAATAAGTAGGTGAACATGGAAGGAAGGTGTATATTATAATAAGTAAGTTAACACGGAAGGTGCATATTGTAATAAGTAGGTTAACATGGAAGGAATGTGCATATTCTAATAAGTAGGTTAACATTGAAGGAAGATGTATATTATAATAAGTAGGTTAACATGGAAGGTTTATATTGTATAAGTGTCTTATGGTAAGTCTAGGCATAGTATACGTTTTATAATAAGTCTGGGTATAGTATAAGTGTTTGTGATTTATTTTTATTGTTATCATCTGTATTTGACTATATAAGACAAGTTTTTATATTCATATTGATTAATTGATGCAGATAGTCGCTTCAGAGAAACTTGAAACTCTTACATAAAATAGCCTATCTCAAATTAATATACCCTGGATTAGTATTTGAACAAACTGGCCAAGTCAAACCGGAATTGGCGGGTTACCTAAAACCGCCTATAGGTGGGTTCGATTAACCCCGGTTTTGGTGATAAGTTCTCAAGTTCAAAAGAAATTCACAAAAAAATATTAAAAATCTCAAAAAATAAGAAATTTGTTTGTAATGTATTTTTATACATTTTCTATCATTTTTGCAAATATTAGAAAGTATTTTAGCCACAAATACTTATTTTTACATTTTCCTTCTTTTTTATTTCTAAAATACACCTGGTCACAAATTAATTTTTTAAAATATATTTTTTTACTACTTATTTAAGTTGTTTAATTTTAAATTAAACATATTTTTATTATTTTTTGGATTTTTTTTTGGTATTTTTATTTTTTAAAACACTTTTTTGCCTTGCCCGTACCTGCTTGACTCGGGCCGGACTCGGGCCGGCTACCTAGACCAATTCTAGGTTGCGGAGATCCAACCCATGGCCAAGTTCCACGTTCGCGTCGTGGTTTTCAACACTGCTCCAGATAATACTTTTTTGTTACATTTGGTACAATCTCGCATTACATATAGTGCAATCAATCATTAAACTCTTTTTGTGATCTTCACCTATTTTTAGCCTTTTTGTGATCGTCATCTATTTTTAACAATTTTTAGATAAGCTTACATGTAAAAAAACTTTCCAAAAGAATAAACTTATATGTGAAATTGTCTATAAATTTATCTCAAATAACTTTACGATGGGCACTTAACAAATATCATTATTTTTAATATGATAGTGAAATTTCAATGATTAATACTATTATTTTTAATATGATAGTGAAATTTCAATGATTAATACTATTATTTTTAATATGATAGTGAAATTTCAATGATAATGAAAACATCAAAACATGCCCTTTTTCTATTCCCTAATCGCAAGGACTCCCATCATTCGCCTATCATTCTATATGGTTTTCTTTAAAGGTTTTTCTATTCTTTTTTCTTTTTTTTGAGTAATTCAGTGAGGATGACGACCCCCGACCCGTTTTTTGAAATCATTAGTAGTTTTTAAATGCTTTAGGTAAAAATAGAAACCTAAATCTTAACTGCTGGGCGTAAATGATGCTACCACCACGACTCCAACCCCATTCTCAAAAAAAAGTTTCTTCTATTTACTTATCGCAAAGCACCCCATCATTTCCCTATCATTCCATATGGTTTTCTCCAAAGGTTCTTCCTTCTTATTAATTAGTTTCTGCTAATATAAACATTTTGATGTGCTATATTTTCTGATACCAAATCCTCATTATTTTTGTTTTGTAAAGTCTCTCCAGCGTGTGTTGGTCGTTCCTAAGTAAGCACCAATTATTTAGGAATAGGATTAAGAGATTAGGATTAAGAAAATATGCAAACTAAATAATAACTTGCTCCATTTATTACCAAAGGATTGTCTATAGAACCTGAAAAAGTAAGGCATGAGCCACAAAATGCGTCCAACAAACTTTTCAAAAGCTACTTTCATTGACCAGGTCCAAGACAGGCTGAAAAAAAAAAAAGCAAGGCATGAGCCACAAAATGCGTCCAAAGGTTTTCAAAAGCCACTTTCATTGGACACTTCCAAGAAGCTTTTCAAGTGCCACTTCACTGTCATTCCAATAGAAACACACTAATTTGTCCTAAAGGAGCCAAGCGTCCTAGAATCTTTCACTTCCATTGCCATGCCAGAGAGACCCATAGTAACTAAGTCATGGTAGAGAGAGACCCCATAATAAACTAAGTCATGGACCCTCAGTAACCGAAGTCAAGGAAATCGGGGCACCATCATTCTCTTCTTCATCTCTCATCACCTGTAAATAGTTGTTAAAAATGCATCAAATGAATGTGTATGAGAGAGAGAGAGAGAGGTCTGCTCACCTTCTCATCCTTCTCAGCTGCAGCAGCGGCTGATGAAGCTGCTTTACTCAACCCTCTCCTCTCGAGCTCATTCAAAAATCCATCTAAAGCATCACTGCTAATCCTGTACGGTGTGTGTTCAGGACCTGGAAACGAATGATTGACCACTTCTTCTCTGAAATCTGATAGAGCTCTATTTATCTCAGCACCCACATGTCCATATTGTTTACAAAACTTGGGAACCACCTGAAAATCAACCATTAAACAACCTTTTCAGCGCCAACAATTGCAAAGAACTGAGAACACACACACACTCTCTACGTACCATAGCATGGTGAGGGTGTTGGAGCATGCCAAGCAAATCATGGTACAGCAAGATCTAAGAAATGTCAAATGTCAGATTCTTCATAGTTAAATAAAAATTGAGGGGGAACCATAACCAGAATTAAGCAGCCTCATGCATCACACACAAAAGAGAGGGAAAGAGAGCATCTAAAATCACAGAAGTGTAAACCAATGTATGAAACTTTACCATGTTTTAGTCCTTGCTATACCATGAAACCTACCTGCAACTAACAGTTTCACTATCAAATTCTCTTTAATACAATGTGTTTTATCTTTGGTAAATCACAAGATATGTTGAGGTTTTTCCTCTGATTAGTAACCCAATGAGTTTACGAATGAGGGCCTTTTTCTTTATGGTGGTTAATGAATGAGTTTTCAAACCTTATAAAGATGCGCAAGACAACATACAAAACATGATGGGACTCATGCACTTCGTTCCAAAATGTCCAGTTCATTCTCTAATTCTCATACCTAGCAGAATGTGAATTCACTAAATGCTCTCTCTCTCTCTCTCTCAGACACACACACAAAGGAGTCATCTTCAAAGTATATTTCTCGAGAGTAGCTACTGGACCCACCCTTCTATGGCATCCTCTGTGCACTTGTGTTTTGTCAAAATATTCCACTTTTTTAGATGCATACTCTTTCTTAATCAATTTAGGTACAGCAAGAGAATTGACATGCCAAAGTAGAACGCAAATTAGAGAACAGAGGTTTACATTTTCAATATCGATATCTCTAACAACCTGCAACAGATCAAATTGATTAACTGAATAGCCTATTCAGCAGCTAGAGGGCATAGGCTTCGACCAGAGAAATTCATATCATCCAATCAGAAGTACAACCTCACGCTTGAGTATAAAAAGTGGGCACCTAGGTACCACTTTGAGGTGAGGCTCCATAAGAGCTAGGTGCCTTCGATATTTCGTTACTTGAGGATTTGGTGGGAGTAAAGAAACCTCTGGTTAGCCATAAAATGTTATTTTCTGTACTTGGGCGGGGGAATGCTTACATAAAAAACAACTTAGCGCCTAACTTCAGTAGAAGTAAAAGAAAATAAGCTCTACTTTATTAAAGAAAAAGTAAAATTAAACCTTAATTTTTGGTTTGCTTATCTTGAGACACTATCTGAAACCTATTAGGGACCCTGTTCCGCTGAAGCACATTTTTTCTTTCTAAACATTGAAAGAGAATAACAGTAATATTTTTCAATGTCTCAATTTTTTTTTTAGTTTCCATTCTTAAACAATATTTTCTTTAGATTTCGTATTTATTATTTAATATTTTCTTTAGATTTGACATTTGTGAATAGTTAAATGTAATTTGTGCATAGTGAATTTGCAAAAGTCTTGCTCACCATTTATGAGTTTGTCCCCAAAATAATAGGGCGGAATGCCAGGCTTACTTTTGGATAATAAAATGAAAAATATTAAGAATTTTGCAACTGATAGTCATATAAAATATCTATATTAGCTGAAATCACATGACTAATTACTAGAATTCGACATCTGGAAAAAGAATCTTCCAGATCGGAACCTCTCAATGAAGATCCAGTAAATCTCTACTTATTTCAATTTAGATCCAACTCATTTCAAAACATGTAAGGATTTCAATTTAGATATACATTTCAAAACGTGGTTCAACACTCAACCCTAGCACTAAGAGCATGTTAGTAAAACAAAGATCCGATGTGCAAACAATAAAACACGCATCTTATATACTAGGTTGAAGGATGATGGCCATATATAATATCTACGCAAATAGAATTACAGCACTAATCTAGGATAACAAATTCAAACATTTCAAATTCTACTTTTTAGACTATATGCAAAATTACAGATATTTATTCCCAGAAAACTTCCTCCAACTTCCATACAAGAATTGACAAGAAAAGAGGAATCTAACAATAAAAGCCATATCGGCAACATCAAGTCTCTGAAGCAATGCTTGACTAGAAATCCACAACCTGACAATGATATGAACAATTGCAAAACTGTGTACTAGCTTCTCTATCACCCTTACTCTCTCAATATGATCTATAAACAACGTGAGATGATCAGTAACTCTTTTCCGACTGGGACAGGAAGATCATAAAACTAGCCTTTGAGTATGGCAGCAGGAATGAGCGAATAGACAATTTCCTATTAGGCACCATCAAGGGATTATATCTCGTTATCCCTTTGACCTATATACCATGATTGTACATTGCCCGTTATCTTTCCTAAAAGTTGTTACTTATCAGGGAAAAAAATCATCCAGGGATCTCTATGGGAACATGATGAAAGGCTCCTCAACACAAGGTATAGAATCAACGACAAAGCAGTCAAAATCCTCATGCAGGCCATGGGGCCCCCATAAGTAACAACTTGTAGGTGTTGCCAAAGAATATATGTTGTATACATCCCCACATAATTCAATTCTCTAGTCCGAAATGAAGCATGGTCGGGACCATAGTTATTGGGATCATGTAGTTTGGTAGGCTAACTGTTCTAGAAGCTCGATCCTGAGATCCCAAAAAAGGGATTTCCTATTGATCTCATTTTAGATCTTGATCCCTAGAACACAGGGATCGAATTCCTTAGTTTAATATCTTACGGACATTGAATTCCAGCCCCCTACAATCAATATTTTCAGCTGATGAATCATACACAAATAGGCAGCTGTATTGGCATGCAAGACCATGAGTGCACATACTAGAGAACTATAGAAAGAGGAAGATATCATTAGGAACGATACACGAAGCTCGTAGTGACTAGGCATTGGCGCTGTTCCTATCCAATTGGGGAACTCGATCCTATCTAATTTGGAAGCTCAATCCCTAGAACACAACGATTGAGTTCCTTAGATTTAATATTGTACGGATCTCGATCCCTATTAAGGAACTTTCGGTGAGACTCGATCCATCATCCATCGATCCCGCCCCCTATCCAGAACCATTCGGGATCCAGCTCCCAACAACTATGGTCAGGACCTTGTCTCATAGCTCATATGGTCACCATGGTATGCCTATGTAGTCAAAACATAAGCCAATATGGCATACTCTACAAGACCAGTTATTTCTTAAGGTGGATTCCCAATTTAAGGTTATTTGATAGATAAAAAATGCTTACACCTCTTGCAAAACAACATTTGACCAAACTGCCCTCATGTGTTATCAGGGAAGGTATTTGAACAAAAACATAACAGGATCACTATGAATACTTGCTTTTGCAGTCATGTATGTCACCGTTATCCAAGAGCTTCATTTCATTCTTCATGTCAATCCTACACGATATAAATTATCAATACTATGATTTCAGATATACTAAGTTATTAATGTCATGATGAGTTTAGATAACACTTCAAGTTTACTTCATATTTTGCTAAACTTTATATACACAAGTTTTCTTCTATGGTAGGCTAGACCAAATATCAGACACACTCTTGCGTCCCTGTAGAACTAACCACTGAGAGCCTGAATACCTATATACATGCGTTCAGGTGTAACATAAATCCAATTTCATAAAAACACATATTTATATGTAGATTTGCATATATTCATTACTGACGTGTCCCAGGCACCTGTTCCAGGGTTCAAGTTATTGCACTATGACTGTCATATTGAAAACCCTAACATGCTTATCATACTGACATCCATTTGGCTGTTCATTGAACACTGAAAATGTTGGTGTACCACAATAAAACCTAAATAATGTCACTAGCTTAGGGGAAGAGGGCAACAAAGCTCGCCACTCTGTGTTGTCATGCAATGAGATGAAGTAACAAACAACCACTGAGGGTAAAAACTAAAGGAATGAGACAATATCATGTCTGGTCCATGGATTAAGTGCTATGATGGTATATGCAGATGAAGAGTTCAGAACTACACAGTCTCTCATATGAGAGGAAGTGAGGAACTCTTCAAAGCCATGCTCAACAAGACCAAACAAACAACATATCTGTCCATATATTCTAGAAGAAATATTTCACATGACATATATCTATCTATATATATATATATATATATATATATATATGGATATACTGGACTAAGGCTTCTCGTTTAGCCTCAGGATCAGTTATTTTATCTATTATATCGATAATTAGATTTTCTTCCTTAGAGAGTGTATTACAAAAGCAGTTAGTATTCTAGCCATACCGAAGAGTGATTATTTATGTGTGATTGTAACTGGACTCTCTACCGAGCGACTGCCCAGACGAGTGGAAGTTGTTTTCTAGTTTTTGCAAGTGCCACATGTAAATTTTCTTTCGTTTGTCTAATTATGCAAGCTAAATTAATAGTATGTTTAAAAGTTAGGAATATTTCTTATGTGAATTGGATTGTGGTTGATATCTCTCCATTATTATGTATTATCTGCTTCATATTATTTCTCTTCATAAAGTTTGTGTATTATTAAAAACTATTTTAAATTTGATCTCAAAACATCTTTATTGATCTTGGTCCATCTTTGGTATCAGAGCCACAAGTTTACAGTGGTGAACTGTAGTTCTAGGTATTGTTCTAAAGGTTAGAAACATAATAAAATTTACCATAAAGATAATAAGGAAGTAAACCAAAAGTCGTCGTGACCCGCACTACCAAAAAGGCCAAGAAGAGCCGCGAAAAGGTACAGGGACTGTTTCCGATTGACTCAGTATTCACCCATTATCTTAAATGGCATATTTTATCAGGACTCTATCCAGTAGAACAGCTTCCTCGTCCAATAGTACACTACGAGTAAAAAATAAAGAAGAAATAACCATAGATAATATAGAAAAACATATACAAAACTGGAATATTCCAAAGGTCCCCATAACTGATATTTATAGAAAAGGAACTTTCGAATTTAAGTCTAGTTTTGCCATCAAAACAGTAGAACAAAGCATATCAATTACTAATGAGCAAGAAAGTTTCCAACTACTCTCTAATAGAATGATCCAAAATCATAAATCTAAAGAATATCAGTATTTGCATATAGGTCTTATCCAAATAGCCATAAAACCTCTAACTAGATTAGGATTAAATAATTCTGTCTTGCTATGCCTAAGGGATGA